GGCTATACCTCCTAAAACAACGTAAGGAGCGCCGAAAGGGGCATAATATTTGAAACTAAAATATAATGCCAACAGGGGTACGGCAAGGCAAATCACTATGCCCACCACTATACAGGAAAACCTACGAGGAAAGCCGACGCTAGATAAACTAACAATACAGACTGGGTATATCGAAGTCAGGCATAACATCTATGTAAATAACGAACTTCGTATGTAACGAACTAACATTGCAGTTCGCTATATCCATAAATGACTGCATTTAGAGTATATGTCACTGTAGATGTTTATTGAAATTGACATCCGTGATTTCACATAGGCCAAAAGTATTATCTGATTTCGGAAGTTATTTATGAGCATATAACCTGTAATACTTTGAACTCACCATAATTACAATTTTGTGGATTGGTTCTAAATTATTCGATGTGTGAAATCTAACACGTGACAAAATGACTGTGAATTGTAAACTGAAGTGTAAACTCTATGTGTGTTCACAAAAGGTTAACACGTGTGGTCGACCTTGACCTAATTACAAAACGGGTATCCTGTCGATGGCGTTTGACATTTTTTGTAACGGGATATATCCTTCCAAGTAAATTGATTTAAATGACATAGAGATTCCCCCCGTTATGCCGCTTCCTGTGTGTAAAGGATGGGCTTGTTCATGGTCATGAGGCTGCACCATGTGCGCTGCCAGACTCACATTATCAATTTGGATTCATCATAGTAACATTTGTTAGAATACAAGCACAGGATTTAAAATCATGCTAAGTTCAGTTGTTAGTCACATTCTGCTGAAAATTGTCGTGAATGCTTGAACGTAATGATCTGGAATTTCCAGACTAAGGAAACAGTTTTCCGGAATCTTAGTTGAAATTATAATTTCACATTTTCCTGCTTCAAGAGAACGACCTGTCACTTAGTGCATGGCACAGTGTTACGAGACTGGCAGCGCAAGCTGATGAAACAAATGCACAGAGACGAGAAAGAAGCTGAAAAACAGTCTGTATATTGTTTAACTTACAATGTGTGTATTTTGATTGGTCCGTCTAAATTTACATCCAGACAGTATGTCAGAAACATTCAGAAACTGATAACATTTCAGCAAAGAAGAAACACCAAAATAGTACGGTTATTTAACGCAGAAAATAGGTTCTGTAGCTCACCCGTTGCCATGGGGGATGTAGAACTGTGTAAGGGACGATTCTTTAACACTCAAACACTTTGCCGAATTGTTTGTAATCCTAATATGTTCACACAACGAGTTTATTGTGTCCCTAATCCCTAATCTTCGGAAAATGTTACAGGCAAATAAGTAATTTTCAATACCCCTAATTACAAGATGTCTAAAAATAGATCAGATTTTTCAGAGCAAGTTGAGAGGACGGTCCAAGTAGGGAGGACAAATGGAAGAATGATTGTTTATCAAGTTACAGACAATTGTTTGGACGGATACCTGACCATCTTTGCCTTTCCAATATGATTACATCAGTGGCAATGTGATAGAACGGAACATTGGTCATTCTTTACCTTGCCGTTGTCGATTGGGGTGAGATGAAAATGAAATTGGGTTTAACTTAGCGTCCAAGATTATTGCACTTATATAGCGACGTGCATGCACGTGTGTGTGTGGCTGCTTGTACTAGTCCGGACTGATGCCGATTTAGAGTGCTTGCTCACTGAGATGCCATGCCGCAGTTTAACATGAATACCCCGCTCAGACACAGTATACTGACTCCGAGCCGACCAGTCCTTGTTTTAGCCCCTTAATGCCGAGCGCCAGACAGCAACAAGTAACAACAAGTACCATCTTTTAACGTCTTTTGGTATGACGCGGCCGAGGATCGAACTCCTGACCTTCCGCTCTCCGGGCGGACGCTCTACCACGGAGGCGGTCTGTCGATTGGGTGTTATAAAGGCTAATAATGGATGTTATATAGGCTTATAATGGGTGTTATAAAGGCATACGACGAACGGACAAGGACATCGCGGTGTCAGCTTTCATGAAGCGTTCAGGTGAGCTAACAGCTATGACAACGTGTGGAAATACGAGGAAAAGTAACTGATAATATGAATTGATTCATAACTGAAAACTGATAATACATATGATGATATGGACTCGTATTGCTTTGCAGATTCATCAATCTTCTTTGTTCACAACAAATTCCTTGTAAAGATAGGCAATGGGAGATTGGTGCCATTCAATGAGTTTTGAGATCAACAGATGGTCAAATCTCAAGGTTTGATAGCCTTTCCAACAGCTGTATATCTCTAACGAGGACAAACAATATCTTAACATTTCAACATAAATTATGAACACAACACAAAGGTAGAATTTGAACTTTGAAATGTGTTTACATTTTAATCAAAACGGAATTAAACGTTTAATAAAGCAGATTATGTAACTTGACAATCTAATCGCTGAAACATAGTGTGAATTAATATTGTGATGACAGTTCAGTTGTTAACCGGAATCCGGCACGTTTCAGACCAATTAATCACAAGTACACATTAAATCTACGAAGAAAACGAGAGGGGTTTTAAGTGTTTCTAAAAAAATCACAGCATGATAAATGTGAACATGATTTTCTTAGCTCCCAAAGCCCGGATATGACGTCACTGTCTTGTAGTTGGAACAGCTGACATATACCCCACTCTTGTACAACTAACATAACAAAATGCTTCCCCTGTGTCGCATAATCTTATGTAATCTTCAACACAGTTCTGAACATTGCCTCTAGACATGGCCTCGAGGTAACAGATACGTCGTCGTCATAAAACGAGGTAATTAAAACACTAATACATAACATGGTTATTCGAGCTTATCTTGTGTCTGACCTGTGAGTTTTCATATGAGGCGATATGTAAACATTTCAAATGGTATTTGTGTTTCTTCGTTCATCTCTTCACAAACTTAAAACGCTTATAAAACAAAACCTCCATAAGATTTTCGTCACATTTAGTATATCATTTTCTGAGAGAAATATAAAAAACTTACAAGTTTGCACACTATTTTGTTCACATCAAGCTAGAATTTAAATGATGATCATGATGCCTAGAGTGAGTGAGTGAGTGAGTTGGGTTTAACGCCGCTTTTAACAGTATTCCAGTCACATCACGGCGTGTCAGCTTAATGTGGGAGGAAAGCCCGAAGTGATGCGGGTCTCAGACGTTTACTTCTTCGGTGAAACCCACGAGCACGGGTACGGTGCTGACAAACCTAGAAACATAATCGGGGCGAACCGGGATTCGAACCCACAATCATAGGTTTCTGGTGTGCCCAAGGGACGCAACTCTGCACAGCGAATCGCGGCGCCTTAGACGACTGGGCCACCCGTGCCCCCTCATGATGCCTAGAACACCACTGAAACACTGTAATGGTACGTTATTTCAGCTTTCTGAACCTTCAAACAAAGATCGGAGCATAGAATTGGAACCTAGGCCCACATGCACAAAGCGATCTTAGCTACGACTATGGTAAGCCTATGTTAAAGTATGGGAGTTACGATCATCTTAGCGCTAAGATCGCTTTGTGCACGTGGGCCCAGGTAAACATAGTTTGGTGCCATTACTGGTAGATCATCTTAGCGCTAAGATAGCTTTGTGCAAGTGGGCCCAAGTAAACATAGTTTGGTGCCATTACTTGTAGATCATCTCAGCGCTAAGATCGCTTTGTGCAAGTGGGCCAAGGTGAACATATTTTTGTTCCATTACTGGTAGAAACGTGCATGCCAAGAGGAAGCCCTATTGGTCCAGCGGTTTGAGAAATATAGATGATATCAAAGGACTACGGACACAAGACTGTGGACAGACCAGCTGTGACACAAGTTGAAATAGTATTAAAGCTAAAATGAGTTCATGATGATCAAATATCCAATTCCCTCGCCAAGATCAAATATCCCATTCGTACGCGATTTCGAAGTCCTCAGAACAAGAGAACATGTATACAGTTATCTCCACTTCGAGACAAGCGAAGTACCTGTATCAGGTCCAAATGCCGTTAAGGATTCTGCCCCATGACAATAATCTTACAATGTGTATCGAGTTAACGAAATGTACTTTAGATGTAGGGTATTTAATGGAGGCCACGATACTTGACAAGATTGTACCGGCCCCCATATGGGAATTGTTTACGGCCAGCCTGTGTGCGGTGTTTTATTTACTTACATAAACATTCACAGCAGGGGAGGCAATGCTGGACGCCATCTCAAGTTGAGGGATTCTTATCATTTTAGCAATGTCAAGGTCAAACTATTCCAGCTTAATTTTATTGCTATACAATTATAGTGTTGTTTGCAACTAAGAAAGATTACATCTTAATTCGGGGTTTCTTTCTCCACTTTCAATCCGAAAACAATTAAACCAGAGTGACCCTTTCAGCGTGTGGGACCCTATACAATTTGCTTATAGGAGGGCGCTGTTTAAAAACGTTTTGTAAACTTTTCGCATAGATATCTAAAATGAAATGATTACTTTAAGAAATAAGGACGCCAGCTGTAGGTCAAAGTAAACCAGGGATGGAATTGCCAAAACGGTTGGTAAAATATCACAGTCAAAGAAAGTGATGCTAAATGTTATGACGAAAATTGTGTTCGTGGCACTGTTGTGTTCAATGGAAGTAAATCAACTCTATTCTACAAAGTTTCAGAACTTGTGCCAGGTGTAAAACAGCAGATTCAGGACTAAACCCCTAAATCATCGACCTGTATACAATGTATATACAAGTATATTTATTATATGTTCGCTAATATTAATACTATTTATGACATCAATATGTGTGAAAATATCATTTCTCTTACATCCACGTCAGAATCTGACATTTGCAGATTAAAACAAGATAGCTAAGTAAACGTACAACTTTATGGATAAGATATAAGATACATATATATTAACGAAATACGCTGATACTGAAACCTGTTTAAATATGTGTCTTTTACTATCGCTACATATGTTTAAGATGACGTTGGACGTCATCCTGAATGGCAAAAAATGACATTTCTTACCTGACTGACTCAGTATGATGGCGACAGCTGTCCCAACCGCTACTCCGATAAGTAAAACACAACCAATCACTATAAGTATCACTTCTCTCGTTCGGATGTTCCTGGCACATAATTTCCCTCCCCCATCGTCTTTTGGCGGAAGGGCGTGGCCGGGCGAACGGGGAGGGGGGGCAAACGGGGGCTGCCCATTGTCCTCAGGCTTGAGTTTTTCATTTGTGAAATTAGAACCGTCAAGCACAGCCGATGAACGCAGGTTATCGGTAAAATATCCTCCATTTGTATCCTCTGTCACGGTGTATTTCTGAAAAATATATACCTGGTATTAGTACAGAAATTTACAAAATGTTAAAGCTCCATTAATAACGAAACAGAACAATCCAATTTTAAGACATAATATGTATACATGTAAGTCGGTAATGTTTGCCCTAACTATTAAAATTGCCTATTGGGCACTGCGATATACACCTGTGTCTCGTTCATAATGGCGAAATTCTCAAATGAATATACCGTGCACTTGAGAATGTCGACTATATCTGGATGCTATTACCACGGGAGACATTGTATTCTGCGTACCACGCAGGCATTGATAAACCCACGAGCTTGTTACTTTGGGCAAGGTTAACCATCGAGAACAAAAGGTTCTTTCTACAAACTACGTTTGAAGAGTGGTCTTAGCGAATATTTCTAAGTATACTTGGCGCGTGTCGTGCACGTGGGGGAGAGACTGTCTGCCGGACTAGCGACCAGCTCCGACAATACTCATTATTGTCTATTCATAGCGTCCCATGTATTTGATAGACGATGCCCTGTCTCCCAAAGAGATGCTAGGATGGTCGCTACTGGGTCTGATTCCCCTGATAATATATACGCACCTAAAATTGTAACAGTATATTTGGATATTTTTTGGGTCATTTTTATTTTTTATTTTCGGCGCTACATCTATGCATGCCACTGAATCACTGCAGCTGTTGCCACGTCTTAATACAGGCCTTTGAATTACAGCTGCAGCCGTTAAGATGATTGGTTGAATCATATCAAACATACATACATCTTTGCACAGACAATACATACAGACATCGAAAACACCTGATGTCATCACGATTTTCAGTAATTGTCATCACTTTTTCCCCCTTTACGCCCATTGAAATCAGTTTCAGCAGCTAATTCTCTGGCGGTGACGATTTATATTTTCATGATGTACATGTCAATTACATCAATAATTGATATATCATTTTGGATGTTTGCCAACTTCTTAGACAGAGTAAAACTCAAACTAAAGTACTCACGGAAATGAAAAAAAACCTGTTTTTCCGATCTCAGATTTTAAATAAATGCAGTTAATTTACAAAATATATAAATATTCAAACAACTCAATTAGTACTAATTGGGCCTTGGCACAAATACAGCGTATCAAAGGTTTTTATGTCTTTTTACACATAAAAGTGTGTAAAAATATGAACAAAACAGACTATTGTGAAAGTGAGCATAACCAGGTGTTAGTAGATCAAGGTGAATGTCCATGACCTATGACACCTTGACGACAGGTGAAAACAGGTGCTTGAAACCCAAGTGCATGTGATTTGTCAGTGGTTAGTGATTTGTGAGTGGCATTGTGGGATAGTTAATCATCGTAAAACTATCAGAACGTAAAAGTAACATATTCCCTTCTCAAAAAAAACTTACATGTCATTATTATTATGTACATAAACATAGCTGTTATTTTTATTGTTGTTTTGATAACTTTTTTTCCAGGCTTATTTGCATAATGCCTATAGCCTGTTTCTGCCATGTCAATTTGGACTTAGTTTTATTTTTGAATGTTGAAAGTGCCTACAAATTACCTCCTGTAAAGTACATTTTGTATTTAGCACTGAGATAAAACTAGCAAATCCAGACTAGTACTTTTCCAGTGGTTTTGTTATTTCGTATTTACATCTACGTAATGCTTTGTGTTGATTAATAAATCCAGCAAAAAAGTTTTTTTTCATTTCCAATAATACTTTAAGAAAAAAACACCCACTGATGTCATTTGACAAAATAAATTCGTCATCATGTTTATAAAAAGTTATGAAATAAATCCCGTTACCCTTTACAAATGTATTGACAAAATCTATTTAAAGATATTAATGTGACTTTAAATATTTTTAAATTTCAAATATCCGATGGGTTTCTTAAAGCTACATTACACGAACGCAATTGAAGCCATCTAGAGCAGAGTCCTCTGGGCGGAAGAGATCTACTTGATTTCTCGTGTTGGGGTGAACAAGTTCACTGTATAAGGAAGCTATAGATGATAAAGATAGCGATGTGGTAATTCTGTGTATAATCACGAGTGAAGTGACATGATCATGTCCTCAATATAGTCTACTGCGTTATCAGTCGAGCAGAGTGTACAGACAGTAAATACTAGTACAACCACGGGCTGATTCCGCACCTAATAGGCCCGTGAAGATCCGGGGTAGAAGAGGTCTTCAGCAACCCATGCTTGCCGTAAAAGGCGACTATGCTTGTGGTAAGAGACGACTAACGGGATCGGGTGGTCAGGCTCGCTGACTTGGTTGTCGCATGTCATCGTATCCCAACTGCGTGGATCGATGCTCATGGTGTCAATCACAATCACCCGATCCCGTTAGTCGCCTCTTACGACAAGCATAGCCGCCTTTTACGGCAAGCATGGGTTGTTGAAGACCTAATCTATCCTGGATCTTCACGGGTCTCAAGGTCGATGTGTTGGGATCCGTGCTAAAGATGTCTTCACAACTATGACCTTATTTATCATATACTGCATCACCAATGTGATAAAAGTGAGTGAATGAGTGTGGTTTTACGCAGCGTTTAGCACTATTCCACGGCGGGGGACACCAGAAATGGGCTTCACACATTGATCCCATGTGGGGATTCGAACCGTTTTTTGCCTGACGAGCGAACGCTTAAACTAAAAGACTACCCTACCGTCCCATTGTAATATTTGCTAGTTGAGTGCATTGACTACATATCTCCTTATAAAGATGACACACACGCCATATGGTGCAAACATGACGTAGATCGTTGAAACCACATTGCCTACAGATGTCTTTTTAAAGTCGACCTCTTCTTTCTTATAATGCACAGTGGAGCCATTTCTTTAAGAGGAAATACCTTTCCAACAGCTTTAGCAGTTAAAGTGAGGTCTGTTAGAACATGCGCGTTCGCTGGTAACAATGGTTCTATTACGAACATCGCAGTACCACTGGGAAAAAGACATATAAAAAACATGCTCCGGATATCCGTAACAAGAAGACGTTATTGTACAAAAAGCCAAATAGGCCGTCAGTTTAATCTGCAAATGTCGGTTTCCAAAAAACTGTAACACGTTAACCTTATCAATTCTAACGCACGTCTTCTGTACATGGTCCTTCATTCTGTTTGTTGCGACGCCACATTGTGTCAGCGTTACTGCAACGTCATATTTCGCCTGTGTCACTTTGACGTCATATTTCGTCAGCGTTACTGTGATGGCATATAGCGCCTATATTACTTTGACGTCAAATTACGTCAGTTTTACTGTGATTTCATATTGCGTCTATATTACTCTGACGTCAAATTACGTCAGTGCTACTGTGGCGTCATCTTGAGCCAGGGTTACATTGACGTCAAATTACGCCAGTGTTACTTTGACGTCATATTTCGTCAGTGTTACTGTGATTTCATATTGCGTCTATATTACTCTGACGTCACATTACGTCAGTGCTACTGTGGCGTCCTCTTGAGCCAGGGTTACATTGACGTCAAATTACGCCAGTGTTACTGGGACGCCATATTGCGTCAGGGTAACTTTGACGTCATACTGTGTCTGTTTGACCTTGTATTTTAATTGGGTCAATCTAACTCCTGTGGTGATGTTCATTACTGTTTGAAATAAAACGCTTCATATGACATCGGTTGCCGAAATAAACAAGCTGTGACAACTACTTTTGAGAAGGAAGCGCCGATGATGACAGTACCATGTCTGCTTTTACATTGTCATGTAAGGCATAATTTCTAGAATTTATCACATTCAGAGATATTTATGGCTTAACCATATTTGCTAATGTAAACACACTGATAACTATATGTCACTGTGACTGTTACTTTCTCACTCCATAAGTCAGCCAACAGCTACTTTCGACAGACTGTTACACAACTCTGGAGAAAAAGCGGTATGCATAATTCTGCACTGATACTACTGATGATACACGATAGCCTACATAAATAATATAGCAGGTCAATCATGTAAATACCCTGAGTCACGCGGGGCTGTCACATCTGACGCTCAGATAGGAGAATGAAACGAAACACGATTAAGGTAAGATGTATATCGAGTGAATTTGTCAGCCACTAAAGAACTAAAATGTCCTTCAACTTTCTTGTACTTATTGATGCATATCCACTAATGAAAATTCATTAAGTATGAAAACATATGATACACCTAATATGCACAGTTACATTCTCAATTTGTTCGAAAACCCTATTGTGAATGTATTTCTGTTTCAACCTGTTAAAGATGATATCTTTTACAGTTTCCTTCTCTTCAAGCAAAGTTTGTGATGTAGACAAAATAATCGATAGTGACAAACAGGGCGGGCGGACTATTTCACAAAGGCTTTGAGTCAGATATTGACGGAACTTTAAACCCTAGTAATGTGTGTACATGTTCGCATACATATTCTATTGCATATTGATTACATATCAAATATAGTTTATATTAATATAACGCCGCCCACTTAACTAAATGTCTGAGCATGTACAACTTCAAACACGACACATTCAGGTAGAAGGAAAAGAAATTCGTCCGTAAAAAAAACATAAATTACACAGTCAGGTATGTACTTACTTGAAGAAGGCCGACCTGCTCGTCACTGGCAGGCACACTAACATAGTCTCGCCTGTTGTCCCGACACAATCCTGGATCATGCATGAATAGCCTGGGAGGGGATCACAACACCTCCACACCTCCACACGGACATACAGATTGACAGACCGACGGACAACACACATTGAAGACCGACCAACCCTTAATCCACTGATAAAAACTGCAAACAGTTCAACCGTCTCCCCGCGCACGTGTTTAAGATGTCACAATGTCAACAACCAATGGCGTTTTTGTCTGATGATAAATTCCTGACATCTCAAGAATTTCCTGTTACGGTAGATACTTTAAAGGCATTCCGCTGCCATTTTGTGTTGGAAACATGCTCTGGAGTGTAGCGTTTCACCCGCAGTGCTTCAGGTCCAATTAACGAGTACGACTGCTAATTTTAAGCAAATAGATTTGAGTGGGGCGCGTGACGTATGAGCATTAACCTTTTCAAAGCTAACCTGTTGTACAATGAATGTATATTTAATCAATATTAACTGCACTTGCGTGCTCAGCGGGAACTAAATTGATACATTAAAATTTATAACTTACATACTGAATTACATCTACGTGTAAACACTTTTATTAAATATAGAAACGGGCCGACACACTGTGATGTAAACGTTATACGATAATTTTATTGTGTGCAAAATAATCAAGATAATATTAGACAGCATATTAACCGAGTTAATCAGAAAAAAGCATGAAATATAAGTACCCACTCATTATGGTTGAAGGTTTATTGTGAAAAAATGTAATATTATCGATTTGTTTTTCTAGCAGTGAAAGGTTAAAGTAAGCGGCAATGGATTCTAAGGCAGGTGACATGCGGCATTCTCCAGATGCCTCTCTTAGCGGGTGGCGTTTCGGGTGTCGAGTTTTCTTGTCGAGGGAAAGGGGGGTGGCGTAGGGGAAGGGCATTGGGGGGAAGGGGCGAGCGTGAAGATAGCTGGACGTTTAAAAGTGGGGTGCCCGTGGGATAATACCCTCTCGTGTGTGTCAGTGTCATAAGCGAGAAAAGTATTCGCGGACTTTGATGTCGCGCTCAACTCACTGCGATTGTTTGCCCACTACTTGAGTAAGCCGTTGAAAGGATTACATGTATTGAAACACATTTGGGATTAGCTCCCGTTTCTCAGTGTACGTTTTCGTTTAACCAGTAACCGCAATAGCACCATTAACACAACAGGTGAGATGTGCGCGATCGCTCCCCTCGGCGGGGTTACCTCCCTTGATGGGGTCTGTGACAGGTGCACAAAAGCACCGGGAATGTCTATACACGCTATGGACCGCAGATGACGCAGCACTGTCAATGAAGGGTATTCAATACGGTTCAAAGAAACTGTTTTCAAACTTTGTGCCTGTCAGGGAAGGGTCTACAAAGCGTAGTGCGAGAGACACGATTTTGGAAAATGTTTGCAATCATTGAAAGTGTCCTTGCACGTATGTTGTTATGCATTCACGAATGTATCTACATGCTTCGACCGATAAACGCACACACACGCACGCACGCGCACACACACACGCACACGCACACACACACGCACACACACACACACACACACGGATGAGTATCACATATATGCACAGACATTCTATACTCACATAGTCATATTATTAATAATAAAAAAACATATTAATAATAATGCCCTAACCAGACTGACTGTGGCAGGATTACCTAAACGCTCTTTGCTGCATTTATTTATTTTAATCTGTAAATAATAATTATAATGGCAATAATAATGAGGATAATGACGACGATGACAACAGTGGCAAAATAAATAAATAAATAAATCAATCAATCAATAAATAATTTAGCTTTAGAGAATGATCAGGCTTCCGTGTACACAGCAAAGCACGTGTGGGGGCAGATCAGGGTAGCTGGATGTTGTTTGAACACAGGAATTTGAAATGTTGATGAAGTTATTAAATCCTCAGAAACCCCGCTGAGTCTATCTTTAGCCCAATTACGCACAAATACACCGCACATCTTCAAAGAAAACTTTTGAGTTATGTGCCTCTAAAAATCACAGTGTGATAACTGTGACCTAATGATACAGGAGAACGAAGCTCCGTTTGGCCTGTGAGTTTAGTTTCGTGTTTGAAGCCTATTAGCTCTCTTCATGACACAACGCAGGGGATGATAACGATATTGCATGACCAAATGCCGCTCTCAAAGTACGTGTATCTGTGCAGGTACAAAAAAATATGTAGACAGGATATCCGATCGGTCAATGAATCCAGACCCAAGACATGAGGTGACACAACCCCCGTTATCAGCCAGAGCTTACATAACAATACACGCTGTGCGACGTCATGAACACTTCTGGGGTAGTTATAATCAGTTAATACATGCTCATTAAGTCGTCATACTGACCCTGAAACAAATATATCCAATACAGCCCATACAAGTCTATAATATTTGGCAAGTCTAGATTACTGCAGTATCTGAAAATGAAGAATGTCTCTGGGCTCCTTTTTATTATATTTTATAACTATAATTTAACAACTTTTTTTTCTGTAAAATAATTCATTTCAGAGACTAGATGTAAGTCTGTTGCTCATTAGTCAACCCGGGTTGTGCACTCTACTGACCAGTAGCCCTTGTATCTTGACCTCATCATTCCTCCGCCCACCCCATTCAACGTACTCCTACACCCTCTGAATGAACTTTTTTCTCCCCATCCTTTTCCATCCCACCATCTCATCCGTCAATGGCACCATTCCATGCTACCGTCAACTTCGTCTTGTTAATATCTTATGTAATTAATTTCGTCGTCCATTTTATTCTGTCCATCAGCGTCATTTATCATCCAATTTCTTCTCTCACTCAAACTGTTTATTCAAAATCCACTTCTTTCTTCTATCCATGTCAGATTTATCCACCATACAATTTTTTTCATACGTCCGTCAGTATATTTCATTCATCATCAAACGTCTTCATTCATCAATGACTGTGTCATTCATTATTCAACACAAAGCAGGTTAAATTGTCCGTCAAAAACCAATGGTTTTATCATCCAGCAAATTCTGTCTGTCTATCGCCGTCGATTTCATTCGCCATACAATTTCGTCCGTGTGACTATCACCACTACTTTTATTCCTCTCCTAATTACATCCATGTTTCCTTCATTCATCCCTTTTCAACCCAGTCATCATAATCAGTACACGTCTAATCAACACCACTATTTTCCTTCTTTCTTTCTCCACTCCACTGCAGCTAATTATAAACTTTGAATAATAAAATTATGATTATCACAGCCGAACTATGGTGAATAGCCCCCCCTCTCTCTCTCGCTCTCTCTCTCTCTCTCTCTCTCATTTCGCTCTGCCGTTGTCTTTCAACATTTCAATCTTACTACACCATACATAATTATTAAAAAACTTCAAATGCAAAAATACATGTCTCGACGCCAATGGAAATAACATGGACAACGAGAGCACACTTTGTTCTGAAAGATCTCACGAGAACAGACTCCCAGGCATGTGTACGTGTAAACCTCAAAGATGAACAATAACAACAACACGGATGACAGTATCAACAATCAAACGACATGCATCACTGATACTTCAGTGACCCCTTAACCCCAAACTGAATCAAACATAGATACCTGCACACATTTAGGAGCGAATGTAGAAAACGTCGGGGTCCGCGGTAACATAACAATCAGAGTACACAACGCAGACAACGCCTGTGACGTCACATTCGGATAAACCTGAGCCAAAAGTAGATTATTGGAAGTCTACAAGACGGGAAAAACGCGAAACCTTAACCCATGGAGAGCATTCTTTTATGTTCGTAATCGGATTTCGTTTTTGCACATTTTACCAGCTGAGTTCAACTTTTCCACACACCTACGCTGCATGTGTGTTGGCGTCAAATGGAGACTTGCCACTGAGCGATCGACCTGAAAAGTCTACATGATATAAACCAGTACATAAGTCATGGAACGCTTCGAGTAGAAACTCGTGTGAACTCGTTGCACAATCAACTGCTTCAGGTATACGGGCGAAGCGTTTCACGGGACAAGAATACACCTGCACTTGTTGCACAGCGCTGCTTTTCTTAAAGGAGGACTAACCTCGTGCCTGTTAGCAGTCCCAGACAGTTTGATGCAAGTCATTCACAACCTACTTTGCATGTCTCATGGTGTATATAAATCTAAAACTGTATGATTGCCCTTATTACAAAGGGACAATGTCGCGGTTTCATACAAGTAACTAAATATAACATCTAAATCTTAAAGTGGCATTTTTGAGTGAGTAGGTATGGTTTTACGTCGCTTTTTAGTAATATTCCAGCAATATCACGACCGGGGACACCGGAAATGAACTTGTGCCCATGCGGGGAATCGAAACCGGGACTTCGGCGCATCTTCCCGAGGCAAGGGAGTTAACTGACTATAAAAGTCCAGTTTCCATTTTTGCCGAACTAGGTTGAAATTCCAAGGCTCGATCGTAGCGCCACCAGTGGCTATTACGAGTTATCTCCCTTCTATGTCCCTCTTACTGACCAATCAGATTTCACCTCTCATATAACTTGCATTTTCTTCAAACAATATGGCAGCGCCCATTCAAAAAATATTCACGTTCCCTGCCTCACACACATTCAGTGCATATGGATTGTAGCACTTGAGCAACTTCTTTAAAAACATGATCATATTTGGAAAATATCTGTCGACGCCCAGTTGCCGGAAAATCCTGCAATCGACTGAAATATGTCGTTTACGAACAGAATGTCGATTTCGTAACGCATAGAGACGTTAGTCCAGCCAAAATATGACTCCGAAATTCCAGCCTATTTCTGCAAGACCTGACCGAATGCGCCTCAGTCCATGGAACATTCCCTCTGTTATACTTGCATTTCATTCTCAACAACCATACCACGGAGGAATGTAGTTACAAAGTTGGCCAATCAACGAAACTGATATAAAATCGGTAGTATTATGAGTAGGGTTATTCGGAGAAGCCACGTGAAAAGGTGAAAATGGTGAGAAAAAGATGCATACTCATGACCCGTGCAGGGTTCCATACCCGTGAAGATTCCGGGGTAGAAGAGGTCTTCAGCAACCCATGCTTGCCGTAAAAGGCGACTATGCTTGTCGTAAGAGGCGACTAACGGGATCGGGTGGTCAGGCTTGCTGACTTGGTTTATGCACGTCATCGATCCAAATTGCGTAGATCGATACTCATGATATTAATCACTGGATTGTCTTGTCCAGACTCGATTATTTACAGACCGCCGACATATAGCTGGAATATTGCTGAGTTAAACAACCAACCAACCAACCAACCAACAAACGATATAATCAAGGCTTGGGATAGGGCTAAATTCTGTGTATTGAATTTTGTTTGTTGTTTAACGCCGCACTCAGCAATATTCCATATGACGGC